ACTTACCTGCAGCGCCATTGCTCCAGCTTCGTCTTCGAGGTACCTGCAGCACAGCGCCATCTTCACAGGTTAGTACCTGGCACGTGAAAGAGAGATAGATAGATAGATAGATAGATAGATAGATAGATAGATAGATAGATAGAGAGAGAGAGAGAGAGAGAGAGAGAGAGAGAGAGAGAGAGAGTTCTTCTTCTTCCTCTCCTCAGTCCACCATCTCCCTCTCACCCTCTCGCTACCTGACTTCACTACATCAGCAGACTACGAGAGAGAGAGAGACATTTTGACGAGGGATTATTTGGGACTTGTAACGAGACTTGGCGTTGACGACTTTCCCATCTCCCCCCTCCTCTTCTCCGTCTGATCCCCTCCTCTTCGTCTGTGCATGTCTGGACCTGGCGCCTTCTTCCTGTGTGTAGCGCCAGGCCCCTTCACACCTTGTGATGGGAATGATGTATGTTTAGTCTGCATTGCGACATTGATTGGGCTCGTCATTAGCATTCTAGCATTCTGCTGCGCTATCTTGTACTACATGAAAGAGGTCAGTCCCGGTCAGGTCAGGACTTGTATCTAAATCTTCCACTGCGCTATGAAACACCATTTTTGTATGTATCAGGATGTACACTGCTTGTTCAGATTCCACTAGCACTGCATTGTCCATTCAGTCCTTTTCATCACACTGCGGATCCTCGGTTTTATATGTATATCACCCAACTGGGCATGTAACAGTTGGTATCGGAACACCGCACGTGAATCAGGACAACCTGATCTGACACGTGTGCAGGGACTAAGTAGCTGATTAGTCTTGATTGATTGATTAGAGCACACTAGTTAGCTCCCAAAATCACGACTTTGACCTCACTGCCAAAAATCAAAATTTTTTTCTTTCCTTGGATTTTGTTTTCTCGCTATTTCTGTTGTAGAAAATCGCAATAGCGCAACATCTGAAATTTCCATTTTCGTTTTTCTTCTGAAAATTTGAAATTTCGTTGTTAGAAATCCGGAATATCGTTTTTTCAAAAATTTCGATTTCCTTTGCAATTTCCCGTTATTTGGAAGTTCGGAATGCTTTTTTCCGAAATCCGTTTTTTTCAAAGCGGTACGGGAAATCCCTCTTGCAGTACCATTTTCCAAACTCCGAATACTCTCATCTGAGTAAGTCCGAATACTTGTTATTTCTTTTCGGAATTTTTCTTATTCGCAGTTCTATGATTTTCACTACCTGATAATCATTGGCAGTCTGAAAGTTCAAAAAAAAATTCTAATTGATAATTTCGCACTTCAAGGGAGGTTGGGAGACCTGCTGAACTTGCAAAACTCGGGATTTTTATTTTCTCGGATTTTTTTTTGCAAAGTTCAAACTTTTCTTTTTTGATTTGTGAAAACTCGGGATTTTTATTTTCTCGAATTTTTTTTGCAAAGTTCAAACTTTTCTTTTTCGATTAGTGGCTCCTTATCTGGGCGATTTATCCCCACCCACCCCTCCCCACCTATGTTGTTGCCTCCTCTCGTCTTATCTTCTCTATCTGTCTTCGGGTACCCCCTGCAGCGACATTGGTAAGTTGCCACATCAGCAGACCACGTGTTACATGCCCAGTTGGGCGATGTACATAATAACCAAGGATCCGCAATGTGAGGAGGAAAAGGACTGAATGGACAATACAGTGCTAGTGAAATCTCAACAAGCAGTGTGCATCCTGATCCATACAACAATGGCGTTTTATAGCGCAGTGGAAGATTTAGATACAAGTCCTAACCTGACCGGGACTCACCTCTTTCACATAGTATAAGATAGCGAAGCAGAAGGCTAGAATACTGATGACGAGCCCAACCAACGTCTCAATGCAGACTAAACATGCATCATTCTCACCACAAGGTGTGAAGGGACCTGGCGCTATACACAGGAAGAGGCGCCAGGTCCAGACATGCACAGACGAAGAGGAGGGGATCAGACGAAGAGGAGGGGAGAGATGGGAAAGTCGTCAACACCAAGTCTCGTTACAAGTCCCAAATAATCCCTCGTCAAAATGTCTGAAGTCCAATGTCGAGTCTGGATCCAAATGTCACCAAGCTCTCTCTATATCTCTCTCATAGTCTGCTGATGCAGTGAAGTCAGATAACGAGAGGGTCGAGGGAGACGGTGGACTGAGAAGAGGAAGAAGAAGAACTCTCTCTTGTATGCCAGGTACTAACCTGTGAAGGTGGCACTGTGCTGCAGGTACCTCGAAGACGAAGCCGGAGCGATGGCGCTGCAGGTAAGTCCCTCTGGCCTTCGCCCAATCTCTCTCTCTATAGTACTATTCTATCTGTGGTGCCCAGCGCTGAAGACTACAGCTAACGCTACTAGCGCCCAACTCTGAAGACTACTGCTAACGCTACTACTACTCCTGCAGCGCTCCTCCAGAGTGCTGCGGCCGAATCCTGAAGACTACCTCCTGCCTCCTGAACTGCACGTGAAGTGCCTGGGAAGTACCTAGGAACAACCTGCAGCCTGCAGGGCAGGCCATTCCTTTATAGTGCTGGCCCGTCCAGGAGGCTCTTGCCAATGCCAAAACTTGCCAGACCCTGGGGTTGAAGCTCAAACGAAGGTTGTTTTGAAAATAGGCCAAAAATGGCCTGAGCTAAAACCCTGGTTTGGTGCCTGAGTTTCGGGGCAGGCCGAACTCATGAGGGCCCAGAAATGGCCCTCAGTTTCAGGCTGAAAACACTCGGGGCCGGAAATGCCCTGATTTAGCCTGAAACGACACAGGCCTGTAGGCCCTTGTTTTCAGGCTTTCAGGCTGAAACGACATAGGGCCTGTAGGCCCTTGTTTTCAGGCTTTTGGCCTGAAAACGTCACGGGCCTGGAAATGGCCCGTGCAGTCTGTTGCAGGCGCAGCATGTAACCCCCCCCCCTCCTTATGAAGTCAAGCCGGGGCGAGGGCGAAGCTGACGATCTGAAGGTGGAACGTGGATGCGGGTGCGACGTGGAGCCGAAGATACCGGCTTGCCTTGCATCTTGCATTTGTAGCGTGCGAGAACATCCGGAGCTGTTGCTTGGAGTTCCGCACAGGTTAACCAACGGTCAGCTCGGTGACTGCAGTCCGCAAAGTGTACCAAGTACTTGGTTGGCCTGTTGCCGTATCGTCGCTGGGAGATGATGTTGCCGACCTCTTGAAAACCGTTCATAGAGGGTGGGTCTTGTGATTGTCATCCGGGAAAATCGTCATGTTCCGCTGGCGTATAGAGAGCCAACTTGGAGCAATGAAAGACCGGGTAGACGCGCAAGTGGGCGGGCACCTGAATGGTGAAGGAAGGTCCTTCGGGTGCATCCCCGGCGGGTGCCACGATCGGCCAAGGCCCCATCCATTTCGGGAGGAGCTTGCGAGAGA